GSSYYGGAATAAAGAAAAAAAGGAAATTGGCGTTTTAAGGTCAATTCTGACACCAAGAGAAATAAACTGTGAAAGAAACTAGTCTTCTTCATTCAAAAGTTCTAAGTTGTTATCCATTCATTGGCTCTAAATCAGTTTTGAAAAGTAATCAAATGTTCTTTAAACGGTTTCGAGTAGTCACAAGATGCAAAACACGCAAGCGATACGAAGATTCAGTCAGATATACTAAAAGATTTTGTAAAGGAATCGATCCAACCACTAGGACGTTGTAAGTAACAATCTCATCCGGTAACTGAAGAAAATCAGCAAGCTTAAAAGTGTCATTTTCTAAAATCGGAATTCAGCTTTCTACTGGTCATTTCCCAGCTCGTCTAAATCGAATCGATCATACTTCTCGTACCGAAAGTCCGGGTTTTTTGAAGTATGGGCATCATACACCAAAATAAACTGCCTGTCGGTGATAAATCCTTTTCTGTAGGTATATGCGATATACTCTCTGTTCTCTCTGAAGTTCGGCATTTTAATCAAGACGTTGATAAAACTATCTAAACAAAAAAGTCAGTCTGCGACTTATATTTGGCAGGAAATCTCTGCGTCGACGTCCGCAGCTCGTAAGTTAATTTTGGCGCGCAATAGCAAACGGCGACGACAAAGTCGATGACGTCACATTAAGTCGTCGTCGAGAAAGAAGTCATCGATTCTTAAGCTACCTGCTATTAAAACAGTTAACTAAACTTTTGCTGTAAAAACAAAATCTATGGAAACTGTAGGCCTCACACAGTTGAAAGCGAGTGTGAATTGATGAATTCAGCAATTCGCGCTGTGATAACTTTCCTACTTTTCAAGTTTTAACTTCACAATAAACAAATTAAATAGAAATATATCAAAAGTCTGAACGTTTGATGGTAATAATTTTGGTATAATAAATCAAATCTTGCTGGCCATGATTTATTCCCTTAGACTGTATATTCTAAGCATTTGAAAATAAAATCGTTAAAAAACGCTGGTTTGCTTTGTTGGTGTACGTTGAAATTCATATTGTAAACTACAGCATGGCAGGCTTCTTCTAATGCCAGTTTGTGTGCTGGGAACCATCTGATACTGTTCTCAACAAAACACATCATTTTCTACAGAGGTTTGAATTGAAGGCACAATAACTATTTAATGTACTATTTGGTCACCTGATGCTTTGCTGCCTAGTGTCATTGTTGAAGTACCCCTTGGGACATGGATTTTCGAAAGATGTCTTTGTTCCTGCAGGACAGTAAAATCCTTTTGGGCATTCCAGGACGCATGATGTTGAGTTTGATGGACAATAGAAACCTGCACAGCATTGTGTACAGTCGGACTGGCCAGTGCGATCATTGTAAGTTCCAGCCTCGCAGCCTAATGGGTAAGACGTTCCTTGCGGGCAATAATGACCAATGGGGCATGGACCGCCAGAATCTGTTACATTTGGTGGATTAGGAATATCGGATCCCTTAATACAAAAGAATCCAGGATCACACGGCCCAGAAACATTCCTGGCACCAGGCTGTCCACAGTAGTTACCTTCTGTGCAGTCTTGACACTCACTTTCTTTTTTCAGGAATTTTACATTGGAGAAAGTGCCCTTTGGACACTTTTCTGGTTCCCCTGTACCAACAGGACAGTAGTGACCCTCAGGACATGGTCCTGAATCCTGATTTGAACTTGGTGTTGCAGATTCTGCACTTCGACGGCAGAAGTAGCCAGCCTCACACTGTCCGCTTACGCTCGTTGCATTCTCATGAGCACAGAATTTTCCAGAATCACAAGGACGGCAACCTTAAAAAAACCCGATAAAACAAATCTTTATTTACTACTTTTTCTAAGATAACCTTGATGACAACATTCTTCAAGGAGGATTAGTAAGTAAACTAGTTTCCTAGTACTGTGAGCATAACAGTCATTTATGTACACAAGCTAAGGAAGATTATAAGAGTAATGATAAAGTAATGCAGAGAAATGCCAGGGTGAAGAAAACTACCTAATCATTTTAAGCAACATATGGCAATCTGCGGTCTTTCCTTACACTTAGGTAGCACGGAAAGCCGTAATAATCTAGAACAAAAGCTCGTGTTTCAAACCAGCAGTCTAAATCCCACAGAGATCAACGAGCGCTTTTCATTCCACTAATTTATTCTTGTTTTTCTCGTTCCCATGTTCCCACCAATAACGTAGCTCCATTCTCTGCCTTTAAAAGCACACACAACCCACAATTCCTCTACTCGCTTCGACGAAGGGCTAACGCTTGAAACGTCAGCTTTTGTAGTCGTTACGGTGGCCCACCGTCCCACCGACGCAGCCCCAAACAGTTTCTTTCGAAACTATCAGCCTTTATTCATTTGAAGAAAACTAAGTTACTTATGATATGAGATGGAATTAACAAAACGTTCTAAATAGAAGAATACTCACTACTTATGTTAGCCAGGCCGGGTGAGTCACCATAAGTCCCTTTTGGACAAGGTTGCCAATTAAAACCTGTTCTCACGGGGCAGTAAAATCCCTGAGGGCATGGTTTTGGGTCCTGACTTTTGTCATTCACACAATAAAACCCAGCAGGACAGTCCAAACAGGCATCGGCAAGAGGATCTTTCACGTACGTGCCATCCTAATGTACACAGGAAAAAACATTACACATCGATCTATATCGAAATTGGACTTACTAATTAGATGGACAAATAACTATAACAAAAATTCATGCAACTAACATAATGATTTAGTGCCACTTGTTTCCATAATAAACGTTTGAGGCGGTATTGTCGCAATAACAAGGGAGAAATAACCTTTTCAACTTTTGCATAGAAACCAAGTTCAATTTACCTCACAAGGAATAGGCAGCGGTGTTTTTCCAGGACAAAAGTGCCCAGGAGTACAGTTCCCTCCAGTGTCACCATCTTGAGGTGCCGGATGCTCTGCTTTTCCTCTACAGTAATAGCGAGGCCAACACTCACCACTCGGAGCTCTGAGAGCAGTTCCATTACAAAACATACCGGGTGTACAATCAGTACAGTTATCAATAATGGTTAATCCTAATGAATTGGAAAATGTTCCAGACGGACAACTTTCAGGTGCCACTGTGCCACTGACACAGAAGTGACCTTCCGGTCACTCCTCACCAGTGACTCCATCAGTTGGGGTGGGAGTGAATGCACCAAGTCTACAATAATAACCTTCCTGACAGGCTCCTGTGAAAGTAGGTGACGACCCTGCACGTGTAGAAGAAGAGTTGGTTTCCAATCATACTTACTCTGAGAATAAAAGTTCTTTTAACTTATCCATTAAAATCATTCATGATAACACTTGGGAACTCCACAAGCTAACAACAACCTTACGTCACTCTAGAAAGCATCACAAGGCCGCAAAGACCCAAGATCATTATTAAGGATATGGATGACACAAGTTTCATTGTTAACATTGAATAATTATCTACATCGCTTCCAACAAACTAAGAGTGGTTTACAAGTATTGTAACAATAATATGTTAACATCTCTTTACAATATCAAGGGTACATGAGAGACCCCTCACCGTAGCAAAATCGTCCAGGTGGGCATTTAACACACTGATCAGGATGGAAGAGCTGGGTTCCATTTCCATGTGTTCCATTCGGACAACCAAACTCCGTGGCATACCTTGTTCCATTAGGGCAATAAAACCCATTTGGACAAATATAACTTGTGAAGTCTGACAAATCATCCTTAGTGTCACAGTAATAGCCAGCTGGACAAAGTTTACAAGAATCTTGTTGTGTTTGATCCTGGTAAGTTCCAGAATGACATTTAACAGGTGCTGGACTTCCTTCAGGACAAAAATGTCCCCGTGTACATGAATTCCTCTTATCTTGCCTTTCACCAGAAGGACAGAAATACTTTGCAGAGCAAAGTGCAGTTGGTTGAATCAATCCTTCAGTTTCACAGTATGATCCTTCAGTACATAAGGAACAATTATTCTCATTGCTGTTACCAGTATTATTAGAAAAACTACCTTGAGGACATAGCCTTGGGGTTTTAGTACCCCTTGGACAATACTTTCCTGCTGGACAAATGTTTCCAGTTATTCCATCAGCGGGTCTTGGGATCTTGGCACCACTTGTACAAAACCAGCCAGGATCACACTGCGCCGTCACATTCTCCTTTCCTTTTCCTTCACAATAAAACCCTCCAATGCAGGGAGTAGGTTCATGAGATCCTTCAGGGCAGAAAAACCCCTCTTGACATTCTCCTCCAGTAGAATTTGCAGGGCAAAGACAATCACCAGATGTAAAATTGTCATAATCTTGGGGTTTGTCTGTCCAGGCAGCATTGACACAGAAATAACCTGCAGCACAAGGTCCAGTTGGTTCAGAAAGCCCAGATCTGCTGCAGTACTTCCCTCCGGGACAAGCTTTGCAGTCTGCAAGGCTGACACCACGTGTGGCATCGTTATAGTAGCCCTTAGAACAAGGGTATTGAGTTGCATATTCAGTTCCATTTGGGCAGAAATGACCCTGTGGACAAGGGAAGGGGTTAAAGTCAGTTGAGTTTTCTGGACAAAAATATCCAGCAGGGCAAGTAAAGCAAGCTGCTTCTCCTTCATTTGGATTGTATGTTCCACGCCTGCAGCCAAGTGGAAATACTGTGCCAAGCTCACAAAAGTGACCCTTCGGACATGGTCCTCCTATGGCGGATACATTAGCAGGTGTTGCTGTATCAGAGCCTCTTCTGCAGTAAAAGCCTGGAGCACACTGCCCTGCAAAATTGGAAAAGCACAATTTGTCTTCTGGAATTAAATCCTGCAGCAACAAAGTATACAATTGTAAAAGAAAAGTAGCATGGGGCACCTTCACCAGTCTTCATCTTTTAGAGTGAAACCAGGTCAAGCATTCCCCAAAGATAAAGTTGATTAATCGATCATTCATATCTTAAATATGTCTGGAATCAAATATAATCCAATACTTCTTCATTCATAATCAAACATCGCACATACAGAAATGCTGAATATAATGGGATCATGCAGACGTACAAATTCAAAAAGCAAATAATTGTTCCACTGATGGAATTTATACAGAATACACCTGATATGGTTTAAATACAAATAATCTTTCACAAGATGCCATAACTAATGTAAGCTGAATCTGAAATCTCACGAAAATGTCACAAACTTAAGGAGAGAAACTCTCATCTCACCTGTTGGCTCAGTCAGGTTTGTTTGCTCACAGTAATGACCATCAGAGCACAGTGTACAGTTACTAGGACTCTGCAGCTGTGACACATTTGAAAATGTACCACTTGGACAACCAATAGGTTCAGGGCTTGCCTCTGGACAGTAAGCACCAGGTGGACAAACACCACCTATTCCTGTAAAATTCTGACTTGGGCGTGGTGTGTTGACACCCTGCACACAGTAAAATCCAGGATCACAGTTTCCAGATATGTCACTTGGAAATGAAACAACCCCTGCTCCTCTGCAGTATTTGCCAGGTGGACAAGGCTGACACTCGCTTTCACGAGCAAGACTTAACTTTAGGACAAAAAAAAAATTCCTCAGTGAAAGAGACTGAATAAAAAGATCATAACTTGAACATAAAAATCTACATGTACAATATTCATTTACATGGTTCAAATAAGTACATTTATTACACGACTCGGGAAGTCAGAGGGCCAATAACTAAAATCAACCAATCAAAATGCTCTATTGCCGGTCAATATTCTCTCAGTATTGGACCGGGCACTGTCCTGAATGGTCCCGAATGATACTGCACTTGTGTCCCTTTGAACTTCAGTCGTGTAATAAATCTCTTATTAACCAAGCTTGCTTGGGACCGTACTGGAAGAATATCGGTCCTCAGTCTTTTTTGTACGGACCGAGCGCAGCAAGGTCCGTACAAAAAAGACCAAGGGCCGATATTCTCCCAGTACGGCCCACACGCTTGGTTAATAAGATATAAGTATCAACCAGGGTTTAACCCAGATTCATTAAACGTACTTGTGGATTGTGAGTTCCAGCAGGACACTTTTCTGGTGATTTTCCTGTACCAGCCGGGCAGTAATGACCTTTTAAACAAGGTATAGGAGTTTTACTGTCACCTTCACCACCCTCACAGTAGAAGCGTGCTGGACATGTTAAACAGGCAGCAAGACCAGTTATATTGCTGTGGAAGGAACAAATTTTAAAAAGTATGTCAACTAAAGTAACAGTGAGGTTTGCACAAAACAAAAAAAAAGTATCTGCCTCCAACCACTTTCATGCTGTTATTTTTAGTCCAATCAATGTTGGCCTCACGTTGTAGGATATTCCACCGTTCAGCCATTCCACTATTCTCTTGAATAGAGTGACCTGTTTAAGGTATTGTTATTCAGAACTTGCTCACTTTGCAATTCTAGCAGCTCCATTGAGCATTTGTTGCTAATTGAAATGTTAAATACTTTCTTTTTGAATAAATAAACATTTTCTTTAAAGGTTCCATAATGTGCAGATCAAACCTATTTAGATATTTCTGCTAAATCTGAGCAACATTTTGAAGTGATCCAAAAAAATCGTCATCAAGTGTTGAATGACCAAAGATGTTAAAAAACAAACAAAAACCAAGAGCCAAGAATGTTGGTAACACTCAGCAGACCTCCTTGTGGGCTAAGAGGTTGTTCATAATATATTCTATTGTTACACTCACTCACTCACTCACTCACTCAATAGGACAACATCGTGGCTTTGCCTCCATAGGAGGCAGTAGCCATTAAAAAAAAAAAAAATTCAAAGGATTTAAATCACAACCAGGACACAAATATTTGCTGAAAAAGAAAACATATCAAGCTCATTCACATCAGAGAATATCCTTGGTTGAAATATAACAGTTTCAGCATCATCCTTTCTCATGCTTTCTGTACCTTGACAATTCTTTCAGTTCAAATTAATTCAAGCAAAATAATTCTAAAAAGATTTATAACCAAAGTAAAGCACATGCTCTGATTGGTCAATTTAGCAACCCCCATTTGCCCTTGGGTGTAGGCTGCTGAGGTGAGCAAATGCAAAGACTATTTTTTCGCGCGCGCTTGTTTTTTCTGGTCACGTAAGATTTGTTAAATAAAAGGGTACTCTATAGCTACAATGTATCAATGTTATGTTATATTAAACAAATGGTAAACACCACAGCGTACACTATTGAGTTATGGATGCACTTGGGAGGTTTGCTAAGCACTCAAGAAGCTAGAGTCGCTCTCGGCTATCGCCACGAGCGACTCTTACGCTTCTTTCGTGCTTAGCAATCTCCCTTGTGCATCCATAACTCAATAGTGTACGCTGTGGTGTTTAGCATTTGTTAAATATTTTTGTCCCCCTCCTTGCAAACTAAATTGGATGGGCATGCTGTACAACCAAGTAGCAGTGGCACAATTAGTGAAAAAATAAGAGTATTATTGGACTAATCACCTGTAGGTTCCAGGTTCACATTCAGTAAAGTTGGCTGTACCATTTGGACATTGAAAACCTGCTGGACATATATTTCCCGTCACACCATCAAGAGGCATAGGGGTTGTAGCCCTTCTTAAACAATACCAACCAGGGCGGCAGACTCCATTTGGTTCTGTCAAACCTTCTCCTGTACAGGACCTTCCAGGGTCACATGGAATGCACTGCTCCTCTCTCTCAAGTCCTGGTGTGTCACTGTAAGTTCCATTTGGACAAGGATATTCAAATGGTCTCTTTGTCCCCACTGGACAGTAGTATCCAGGAGGACAGATACCTCCATATGTAATATTTGATAGGGAATCATTATTCTGAAAAAGTATAAAAAATGCTTTTAAATACCTTTTACTTTAAGCAATACCCCTCTTAAAGAGAGCAAGAGTTTCTTCATAAAAGGGTGATGCAAAGGTGGAATCTCAATGATGCCAGTGATTAACTTACTGGGGTTGGGCTTGGAGAACCCTCTTGACAATAATATCCAGCAAAGCATTTCCCTTCAGTAGCATTCAGACCTGCCTTTCTGCAATAAGATCCTGCATCACAGAGTCCGCAATTGCTAATCGAGGGTTTTGCAGTCGCTGGATTGTAAGTACCCTGTAAAAAAAAATGGTTCAAATGGCACAGTGAGATCACATGAAATGCCACACAATCTTATATCACACTATTGCAACTTTACTTTACAAAATATTCACTTATAAAAGTTAAATAAGTGTCCTAACATCTTCATGACATAGATTCAACAGTGGGAAAAGACATACTGTCCTATATTTCAAAGGCATAAAAACTTTATTGTCCTTGCAACTTTTGATCATACAGTTAACAATAGATTTGCTAGATTTGTTACATTCCTTTACTTACAGGTGGACATGGTGTTGGTTTTATGCTGTTTGGAGGACAGTAGTGTCCAGTTATACAAGGCTCTGGAAAGTCTAGCCCCATTTTATCACAGAAGTTCTTCTCTGTACAATTAGTACATTTCTCTGCTCGATCTGTCTCCTGGTAAGTTCCAACTGGACACTTTTGTGGAAAAACAGCAGCCTCCTCTGAGAAGTGACCTTTCGGTGTGATATGTTGAGTTGGTACAGATGCCCCTCCTGTACAGTAATGCCCTGGTGAGCATGGTCCAGTTGGTTTAGGATTGGTATCACCTGCACAATAGTATCTGAAAAGAAGGCAAAGTATAGGCAAGTTGACTTATTGGAAAAATAATAAGGTGCCAGCTGACAGGATCTCAAATAACATTTTTCATATGTGGCTGTCAATGTTTGAATAAGCAGAATAGGAATGCACTAATTGCTATTAGTTCAAAATATAGCTTTGCTTTCTAAAGGTGGTAGACACCATTTGGAGTAATGTACCAAGGGTGTTATTGTGTTGAAAAAACTCTCAGGTGCAGATGATTCCAAACTGGTTTTATTTGTATTTGTCTCTGTATGATGACTATGATAATGTACCTAGAATTAAGAAGAAAACAAACCAAACTGGTTCTAGGATCATGTTGGTCTGAAATTCATTTTAATTTACATCATCATCCCAACAACTCAAGCTAAACAATTGTTTATAAATTGTTGTACAAAATTATAGTATGATATTCAAATCTGTTCAGATGGACAATAGTAAGAAGCACAGTTTAAACATCTTGGAAATACTTTGTTCAGTTGCCATACCCAGGGTCACATGTAACACAGTCATCAGGTTCTTTATTTCCTTTGGTTCCACTATACTTTCCTACAGGGCAGGGCTCTGGAGTTTTGGCGCCTTGTGGACAATAACCACCTTGAGGACAGAGACCTCCTGTGGGGCTTCCTTCAGGTGGTGCCTGACAAAGAGGAAAAACAAACTTTTTAAGAGGGCAAAGACCAACACTCAAGGTCTCAAAATAACTGAGAAGGATATGCTTCGTTTCTGTAACATCAAGAAATGGTTAGATATTCTAGTCTTCTCGGATAGGGACGAATAAATGGAGGTCCCGTCTCCTGCAGGGTTAGGGGTAGGAGACGTTAATTTCCCACGCACGAGTATACTGTGTGATGGATGTCCTCCCCTGGGGTGGTGGGTTGAGTGGGTGCTTACAGGGCCGTTCTGAAAACCACTTCTGTGAGAACGCACTCTGTCTAAAGATTATTATCTATCTATGTATCTCTCTCTAAAGAAGAATTAAGGTAACATATGATATTAACTTTACAACATCCCTTAACTCAAAAGCAACTAAACATGCCTTTCTTGTTACTGTAACACTTACAGAAGTGCAAGCTCTTCCACTGCAGTAGAAGCCTGCATCACAAGGTCCAGTTGGTTTTTTGAGTCCATACCCAGCACAATACTGACCTGCTGGGCAAGGAGTACATTCATCACTTTTCTTTACACCAGTAGAGTTACCATAGTAACCACAAGGGCATGGAGAAGGAATTGTAGTTCCAGTAGGACAGAAGAAGCCCTGAAATGAATTAAGGAAAATAATTATTTAGTATTCCTAATATACCCTTTATCTCAACACATAGGGCAGCAAGGTTATGTAATAGCACAGTACATCTCCATAAATCCAATGACCTTGTATATGATTTTCAGTAAAAACCCAGACAAAACAAAGTGCTCTCGAGCTTTAAAAGTGCTGAAGAAACACTGTTGGCCACATTGTTTTCACTTGTCTGATACAAATAAGGAGTGTGTTTGTTGAATGTGAATTCCAGCTTTGAAGCCATTCTTAGGTTGTGACTTACTTCTGGACAAACTTTTGGATTTTCCAAGCCAAGAACATCACAAAAATGTCCAGAGAAACACACACTACAGTCCTGTACTGACACTGCTGCAGACAGTTTTCGGTAAAATCCAACGGGACAGGGATTAGAATATCTGTATCCTGTTCCCTCAGGACAGTAGTAACCTGGAGGACACATATCAGCCTGTAGAAGAAAAGTTTAGGTAAAGGAGCTGTAAATTTTCGATCTAGAATCCTATCTGATGCTAAGCAGACATGTCCTAATTCAAAACTAAACGTCACAATGAAGTACAGGTATGCAACTTGATTACAGCTTGAACATACGCATGTTGTTGGTTGTCAGTCTGTTATGGTCAATGATATCACAACATCACTAATCAAAAAATAGTAAACACCACAATTAAGAAGCTAGAGTCACTCTTGGCTATTACCTCAAGCAACTCTTACACTTCTTTCATGCTTTGCAAACCACCCAAGCACATCCACATCTCAATAACGTATGCTGTGGTGTTTACCATGTATTTTATAACATAAAAACAATTTTTTTGCAAAACACTCACTCACTTGAAAACATTTGCTCAGGTCAGCAACCTACACCCATGGGCAAGTAGTAGGCACTGAATTAACCAAAATGAGCATGCGCTTTATGTGATTTATATTATAAAATATTTTTACAGAAAAGTAAAACATAGATATTTTGTCTAGCCACAGATAGGTACCTCTTTTTCCAGGCCTTCTGGCTCACAGTAGTAACCCTCTGTGCACCTAAGACATTCACTGACAAGTTTGCGGCCTTCATGAGGATTAAAGGTTCCGTTTGGACACTTGATGGGGTAAGGGTTCTATTCCAAAGGAATTATTAAAGAATCATCTTTGAATGCAGTTCAAATGAAGAATTTAAACAACACAATACAGTACCTGTTGGCTGCTTTTATCAAGTTTCAGGGAAAATTGACAAAGTGACTTGAAAGGAATTTAATACACACTGGTTCAGACCAAACATCTATTGTACACTAGTTATATATAAATGAGATTTAAAATGTAACTTCAGGAGGCTTGGCAAGTAGATGAAAAAGAAAATGAAAATTGTATGCATACTGGTCATATTTTAAATGCAGCAGATGTTTGCTCAGTCAATTCTTAATGCTTGATTGCAAATGGCTTTTGAAAACATTAAATTGAAACATTACCTCATCTCCCCTAAGGCAGTAATGTCCTTTCCAACAGGCCTAGGTACTATCATGAAGGTCTGGTTTTTCCACTGTGCCTGGAGGACAATGTGTCCCAGCAGGACAAATTTTGGTAGCTATCATTTCTGCCTTGCTTGTTGTTCTGCTATCACAATAATGGCCTGCCTCACATTTTGTACATTCAGATGCACCAGGACCCTAAGGCAGAAATAGCATTACTACATCAAGTCTGAACAGAGTCTATATAGCACTTTAACTTTCACCTTGAGTATACTGTTTACTGAGTTGTAACAGAACAGTCATATCAGCTTCATTCATTGGCAAAAATTTGACACAACATGCAAGAGTTGATAACATTGGGTAAATCTTACCGAATAATTTCCTACTTCACATGCAGTAAGTTCATAGTTTGCCAAATTTGGACAGTAGTATCCTGGAACACACTGTTTGCAACCATCAAGCTGGTTCTGCAGACAAGAAATGTAGAAATGAAACAGATGAATGGTACTTTTTCATAAGAGACCTTTTCATAAGTGTTTCCATTCCAAAGGTGGCCTCATAACACTCCCAATAGTAGTCTATCTTCAATTGATTCTGCCAAAACATAACATGAAATTTAATCTTCTTTAGTACCTTTGCTGATAGAACATCATTAAATGTGCCCCGTGGGCATTGTTTTGGATTTGTGGTTCCTTGTGGACAGTAGTGACCAGTTATACATGGTACACAATCTTCCTTTCTTTCCAGACCTGTTCTATTGTTGTATGTACCAGCAGGGCAAGGAAATTCTGTACCTCGTTTAGTACCTAGACAAGGAGTAAAAAGCATTTAAAACTTTCAAGAAGAAGTGACGATAAGTTATCAACTTTTTTCAGTATGAATGTTAAAGGTTTTGATCAATGTCAGCGCTTACAATCATTGTAAAATCTAAAAGAGCAAATCATAGACAATGTTTCTTTTAGTGCGAGAGTTTTAAGTAATGTTGTTTAAAAGACACCATTACTTAAGACTAATGGTAATGAACTAATGGAGAAGCACCATGAGGCAAAACATAGGCATACTATGCATATAAGAGTTATTTTTTTGGATATGTGGGTTGAAATGGACACGATAAGTAACTGATGCTGGTGTCTGAATTATTGAACTCTTCATGCAATGCTCTCTCTCTGAGACCAAACAGCGACCTTCTTGTAGGCTATAATAATGCTAACTGCCACTTCTTCATCAGAAACAAAGTTGTAATTATTACTCTGGCCATAGAGGGCCACAATCAGTAAGGAAAATGCACGATGCAGGAAAATGCACAATAGGGTGTTATGTAGCACTTTTTAACTGGCATAAAGCAATGTGGTGGACACAGACTGGCAGCAAAGTTAAAATTTTGAGGGTCTTTTTGTAGACCTTGCATGATGCCATTATAACTGACATGAAATCACAAGCACCCTTTAAGTATTGCTCACTATGACAGAGTTACAAAGATATTTTCCGTTGGCCCATATGATCAAAGTTCTTTTTTTGTAAACTTTCCTCATTTCACAAATACTATGGCAGCGTAAAACCCTTCGGAACCTCCTTAATTGGTTATCGCCTTTCTGGACTTTGCCCTGTATGTGCGAAATACGTAATAAAATTCAGGTTGTTTACAGGGAATTGACATGCAGTGGGGTAAAGTCCAAGATAGCTTAAAGTGAATTTAATTGGCACAAGAGAGTTGCATAGAAAAGTGACTGACTGTATCACTATGTTCCTTAGGAAATATTTTTCAGTGAGGTAGAATTATGTCAAAAAATTTACTTTGTTTACTGTAAAATGGCATTTCATCTGAGAAAGTCTAGTCCATACTGGCGAGTAAAAAGTAAACATGTAGTTGTAGCAGGAAAGTATCATTTACACACTCAGTTTTAGTTCATGGAGAACTTTAAGAAGCAAAGAAATAGATATTTTAGATGGCAGTCGAAGCAGAAAGTAAATATAACTTGATGGTCTTTTGAACCTTTGCAGAAAGAGGGACCAGTACAAGGCAAAAAACAAGATTATCCATCAAATATGATTTATGCAAATGCCTTGTGGAAGTTTTACCTGATTCAGCACAACTAG